GAGCAGCACTGTGTCGCAGTGAGACGGTCACATCGGGTCAAAGATCGAGTAGTTTATACCGGCGACAACGGCCCAGGGACATCGCTGCTTTATTATTATGGGAGGAATGTGAACGCTACGCAATGCTATTTGGCAAAGTAGGATGGAAACAGGCGGCTTTGGTTACGGCGCACTACGTCGCAGCAATTTCTGTAAGCAACACTGCCAAGATATAGAGGCATTGGCACTGTGCAAACAGAGCGGCTAAAATTCGGCGAAAAGCGGAGAAAATGTCCAATCCCACACATAATTAATCTTTCTTAAATAAGGCGATTTTAAGAAATAATCAAATCTTGAAATTAGGTGACAACTGCGTCACTGTAGTTGATACCTGTGCACGACTCTCAGTGCCATATATATAGCCAGTGCTCTCAGTGCTATAACCAGTTAGGATAATGAAGTGTGCAAATTGATGTCTAAAGTCGGTATTCGAGACAATTACTCTGTTTCAAACCCCAACAGCGGTATCACATCAAAATGCAATTATCTTTTCTTTTACGATTTTCTTCTTTTTTTAATTTGATCACTTTTCATCACAGAACCAGATGGCAATTCTGCGACACAAAATTACACCGGCGCGTTTAATTCTTAATTTCTGCAAGTACAAACCTCTTCTCTTTGATAGTAACAGCCATATTTCTGAATTACACTTCTGCACAGGTGGATATTTAACTTCTTGCGGTGCATAACACGAAAAGCTAGATGCCTCGTGGAGGCAAACACACGCCTGAGAACGAGGCGTCGGAGGCGGACGATTCATGCAGCTTGGCATCAAGCGAGATAATGGCAGGCTGAACAACAGAGATAATGTGTTACGGCTAGATCTATATTTTTCTTCGTTATACCCGTGACTCATTCATTACGGTTCTTAAGATTATAAGAATACTACAGTTTAGTACAGTTTGCGATATGCATTCTGCGTGGCCCGCCCGAGTTCGCTTCATAAACAAGTAGGTGTGTGCCTACACCACCTACACGCGGTGTTCAATTGCCTCACCAAAAAAACTAACACACCGAATAATGTCGCAACTGTGAACGCAGCCTGACCGATGACGATACTGCCATACGCAACCAGTCTATCTATATACCTCACTATATGAATGTATCTATATATCGCAAGTGCATACACTATATCATGCAAGTTAAAAAACGCATGATCAATACCAATACGCACGCATGCCGCGTGCAACATTGCATGTAAACATGCAACTGTCCAAAACTACTTTCCTCGATTCGGTGATGGAGGCAGCGGACAAAAAAATGTGGAAACTGCGGCACGGGAACACATCGATTCCTAGATTTGTTGTTTGACAGATGTCCAGATCGGAGCGTTAAAAGGCACGCAGATGTTGCACTAAATCTCTCAATCGCACACAGACGACGCGTTTGAATGGAAGCATCGCTGGCGACATTTCTCTACCACCTATACAACATTCATCTCTTAAAAAAACACCAGACCGCAGCACCCATCACGTTGACAAAGTCAGGCAGAGTTAGTTATTCGGTTTACGTTTTGCACACCTACAATTGGTTCAACCGTATACATTGTAATATTGACACATTGTACGTGATAATATTTTACATTGACATTGTATACGAGTTAGTATTTTAGCAGCTATTCGCGTCAATAAAAACAACATTTCATGCATGTTCTTTATTCACACATGATGTATTTCACTACCTTACTTCATAAACTAATTCATAACTTAATTCATAACTAATTCATAACTAATTCATAACTTAATTCATAAATCAACTCTTCGACATTACACGCCTATTCAGACTATAATGCGCTCGACGAAGAGAAAACACGCAAGGTCAATAATGTTGCGATGGAATGTTTTTGATTTTGAACGCGACACTGGCTTCCTAAACGAGATACAACACACGTTTACAATGCCTAAAACCATGAAACAGATTCACGGTCGACGGACAGCTCGTAATGTTTCGGGCAAAGGTTATGATGTGTGACATTTTAGACTTACGATAGTTAGAACAAATTTTTCGAAATACGATATTTTTCTGACAACTGGTGCCAGATTGCCAGTTGGGCTCAGAATTTCATTTAAAGACCACCCCACCCCCGTGTACGTACAGAATAGCGTAAATTCCACACTGCGTTGCTATGCAATCAGTAAAAAGCTCGCAATTGCTTGCAATTAATGAACAATTTAAGTTAATAGTAATAAATACGTAAAACGACCGATGACGTATCAGTATCGTGGGTCACGTACATCGCAGAGAGGACACTGTCTTACAGCAGGAAGAAACATAGGTAAGGAGAAACGATGAAAGGAGGAAGGAGAAGAGGGCAGAGACGACGACGGCGGCAACGAAGAAGAAGAAGAAAAATAAGACGAAAAAGAAGACGAAGAAGAAAAATAAGGATGGTGATGAAGAGAAGAAGCAGAAGAAAAAGTTGGGGAAAAAGAAGCAGAAGAACAAAAAAGTATCGTAACCCTCTTGTGCTGGCTTGCTCCACTTGCTACTGTTCTCGTTGGTGCGAATGGATTCTTCTTCCGCCTCACACCATCCAGTTTATCTCAAAACGCCCAAAACTTCGACGTATCAGGATTTTAAACGCGTACACTCACGCTGCCAATTTCTATTCCAGCAGAAACGTTTCGTGATCTTTTACTAATGCAACCATGTTCATATTTAATTATCTCTAATATACAGTCGAAAACTCTAATTAAAAACGTGTAAATTCCATTCATACTCTTATCGATTCATCAATCGATCAGTGAGAACCGCATCCGGGAGACTAACCGTTGTACACACGAACACGAACGACCGTATTTTTGGCAAATGCATAAAAGACTTTATTACTTTGCAGCAAAACCGCGAAAATACTGAACACGAAATTGTAACTCGACTAGTTACTCGCCACCGCATCACTGCATCGACCTCCCAACAGCGATTCTATCCCGTAGACCACACCATAACTATCTGTGTCGCTTCAGCACACCCGCATAAACCAATGACATGGGCTGGCCACACCGATTACAATCCTACTGCATTCGTTAAATCATAGATACATAAAAACACAATGTAATGTGTTTGTATATATCTATGGTTAAACCTCGATCGAATCCGCTGCCGCCACCCTTGATTCCAAGATGGAAGAAGTACGGAATCGGCAGAAATGTGCCCGAGTGGTTCCGAATGATCCTACATGCTAAAGTGTATCACGCTGCAACTAACATGTCAGCAGACATAAAGTCACTCTGCTACTCTGTATCAAAGTGGTCTGAGACTGATTTGGGAATCTGTAGCAGCGTTGACTTTCAACCAGTTTTGCGGGATGCCGATCAAGACCAGCTACCGAATCGATTGATCTATCCGCCTGGCGTGACAGACAGGCAGCAGCCAATCAGCGTTCCGACAGCGCATTCAAATAATGCTGCTTAGCGTCAAAATGCAGCGAGTGAAAATTATGGCATTCGCACGGGAAAAACCTTGTACGAGTGAGCTTGATCAACCGAGGAACATTGCTCGAGCTGATAGGTAAACTACTATACTAGTTTCCAGATAACAGCACCCTAAGGAGAAACACCTCATTCAATTATCACGCTTATTTTGTAGATGGCGCATGCACCACAAGAATCAACAAATTTATTTATTGTCATGCAAGCTTACAGGTGATACTAACACCAGGATCAGCTACTCGATCAATTATCATGGTTGTTTACAGCTAGCAAATGGTACATTCACTACCAGGAACAACCACTCGATCAATCATCATGCTAGTTTACACCATACACCTAGCAAGTGATACATTCACTACCAGGAGCAACCACTCGATCAATCATCATGCTAGTTTATGCACGGCAGTTGTCACGAAGATCAATTATTTGATCGTTTAAAACACGTGCGTATCATGCGATTCCGTGCCTCAAACCACACATGAAATCATAGAACTCTCTACTATCCATACGAGGCTCTCTAAGATATTGCGCAGGTACGACTTAATACGCTGCTCAGTTGATACAAACAAATCATGACACTGAGCACAACCTGTTGTCCATAATATCAAGAGCTAATAAACACCTAGAGTGTACAACGGAAAAACGGGAAAATAGTGCTATTTCACGGCAATATTATTCTACTTTGCCTGCGAGTCTAGAATAATTTTATGGTATTGCATGAAAAATGGTTAAGCAGAATTCTTTGCTCTCTAAAACAAGACCAACCGCTTGTCAATACGATACTCCTAGGCTGAGATATTGGCTCGTAAACTTCCCCTCCCACAGGCCTCACGGCGCCTTGCATCCACAATATTCACTATCCTTGTCGCCTTTTGCGGATCTGGCTATCGTTTTCCGTTGCCGCTTGGAGCGCTGATAATTGATGTCACATGCCAAAATTTGGTATTCTTACTACACCATATAGTAACTGAGCTGCGTTGTAGAGACTTAATTTAGAAAACATTGCCGGCTCCATCATGATGGGCATTAGCCGTGCTAGGAAAGATAATGGGAGATAAGGGCATAGGCAATGCCCGCGAAAGTCACCGATGCTAACCGAAACGCCGTTCATTCATAAAGTTATTGCGGAAAAAACCGAACTCTCATGAAGCGACTTTCCTAACCTGCAAAAGGCGAGAAGGATAGTGAATATTGTGGATGCGAGGTGCCGTGAGGCCTGTGGGAGGGGAAGTTTACGAACCAATATCTCAGCTTAGGAGTATCGTATTGACAAGCGGTTGGTCTTGTTTTAGAGAGCAACGAATTCTGCTTAATGCAATACCATCAAATTATTGTAGACTCGCAGGCAAAGTAGAATAATATTGCCGTGAAATAGCACTATTTTCCCGTTTTTCCGTTGTACACTCTAGGTGTTTATTAGCTCTTGATAATATGTACAACTGTAAAAATAATTCGTGAGTGAATTCCCTGAACAGGGAAGTTAAGGCCAAGCTCACGTGCACGCAAACATTATACTTGTATTTTCAAATAGCCGAATGTTCTTTATCACTCCTTAGGAATGTGATAGGTAGCGTGATTTCTAATTATTGAACATCTCAACGGAGGAAGTTTCTCATGCACAGTGGATTACCCACACCATCAAAAGAAACTTGATTGGTTAAAACCCCTTAATCCTGTCAATGGAGATGAGTAAAATTTTCTATGGCTGGGATGAGTTAAATGATCGGGAGAAACTGCAGATTTGGTCAAAATCGTATCTTAGAGTTTCTTCCACAACTGCACTCTTGACATCGTCACGAGTTCTAAAACTTGCCATTCATACCTAAATCATCTAAATTAACAGGTATGTGATTTAGTTTCCAATACCTACTGTCTGCCTCCTTCCTAGGTGTTGCTATGGATTCACACAGGGTTTCCTGTTCATCACATTGCATTAACAACGGCAGCAGCCTTGTGTTATTTTTACGATCTGTCTGATTATAACAATGTGTTGTAACAAAGATATACTCTACGGAAAATTGAAACAGACACCAAGAATGTAGATTATCCTAGTGGGTCATACACCAGCACCAGCACCAGCACCGGATGCTAGGAACTTCTGAAATGGGCCAGATTTCACCGATTTGATGGTTGGACATTTTTTTGGAGTGATATAATTTTGGTACAGCTCAGGTGACTCGGTGAGAAGTGACAAATTTTAAGGGCTCCCGCCATTCTAGTTGCCCGTTAAGACGGAAGCGGATTCATTCATCGTGTTCTTTGCTGCCTTATACTCCTCCGCATCACAGAGATCCTGGTTCGAATCCTGGGGAAAGTATTGGAAACGATTAGTGTCTTTTACAGTTGACATTGAAGGAAGCGCTAGGTGAGCATGAGCGAACCTCACTACAACTATCAATAGGTGAATCGATTTTTCAAGATATGCATGTGGATATTCCAAAGCATAGTATATAGCCACGTATGAATAAAACAGCAGTAATAACGTCAATAAAATTCCTGGAGAATACCTACCAGAAGATTTCCCAAGTCAGCCATTGCAGCTTTGAGCCGTTTAACACAGTCTGGAATCATCATGTTTGATTCTTGCGTCACCTCTTGCTGTAATGAAATTTAACAATATCTAGACAATAAAAAAAATGACAACGTGATTTTTCGTTGCAATTTCTCCTTAATATCTAAGAAAAAAAGACATCTTAAATGTGAATAATTTAAGTAAGGGTATCACTTTGATACGTGTGAATGCACACGGGCACCACCTGCTGTAACAAATGATCTGGCAGACATTTTAAATAATCTATTGCCACATAAATAATGACGAACATATGAAGCAACTCTTTCACAGGTCCTGTACGATATTGATTTAACTTCGTTGATATTAAAAATTGGCATTTGGCTTTGGAAATTTGACGGAGACGATGGACCATAGAGGATCGATGATGACTAGGCACGACGACACGTGCATACCTGTACAAATGTATACAGCACAATGACATAGTCACATGTAAACTGATAGCAAATATGTGCTAGATTTCGCAGAATTTTTTTAGAAAGTGTTTTAAATTTTAAATTTAATCACCTGTTTCTTGATGTCGTGTTCATCCCGTCCCTCGGCCTTCATTTTCTCTACCCTCTCCTGCAGCATCTGGGCCTCTTTCTCGTACATGTTTTTTTCCTTGGCGATTCTGCAAGAAATGAATTTTCTTAATACTATGTATGCCACACGTGGAAGATATTCAGTGACACTCTTGTCTTTAGGCTTCAATGATACACTCCCAAGAGACTAGAGTCTAGATCTACACTAGAAATGGGAGCATGTCTTTAAAGCCGCACAATGCGCATCCAAACGCTAATTTCTCCAGTACTAGACTAGCAAATACTTCGTGTCATGCATAATCACACTACCTTATGACAAAATCCCCTAAACTCTAGCTCTCCCATTTCACTGCGCATTGTCTATAAAAGTATTTGAAAATACCTCCAATGTTGTTGAAATTCTCCGAGTGTTGTTGACAGTTTCCCCAAGCAACCGGTGCACGGCGCTCGGTACAGCGGTACGGGTGTAGCAAAGATAAAAACATGTGACGTCACCTCACCACTTCAAGGCTAAATTGTTTGGCAAACAGTCGGCGTTGCGCCAGAATGCCAGTTTTCTCACCTCTTTCTGTGGGTTTTAACAAACGCGCAGTGAATATTGGA